GATGTTGAATAGTAGGGGGGATAGGACCGAGCCCTGAGGCACCCCATAAGTTAGGGGCCTAGGGGACGATCTCTGCCCCCCCACTAACACCGACTTTTGTTTTCATTCCTTGCTCTTGATTCTGCTGTTTAACTTTTGCTGACTTAGTTCTTGGGGGCGGGGGTTAAGCTTTTTCAGACTTGCTTGCTGCTCCTAGAGCTACAACAGGACTTCTTGTTAGCTTCTTGCGTTTTTTGCTTCTTGCCATTGCAATCTTGTGCCAGAGAGTCATATCCATTCATACAGGGGTTAAAGTGTGGCTCTCTTTGCCTTCTGTTACCTTCTTGGCAGGGAAAATTTAAGGGAATGCAAGGGATGAAAAGGAAAACTATCATAAAGCTGGGTAGAATCTGTTTCTAATAAAAGATTCAACCTCTGCTTGTCTTTTCCCCATGTTGTTTTTGTTTTGTTGGCAATTATTGTATGTTTCCAGTTTTGTCTGTACTAGCAGTCAGCATAGACCTACTGTACTGGCCTACTGTTGCAACACTAAATAAAAACCAGGGAACAAAGCTCTGATCTTCTATTGCCATTGTTTGCTACTGTTAACATTAGAAACCAGGAAGAATCTGTCTAGGGAGATTCTCAGTCATCCATGACACGGCTGTCCCAAAAGTGCTTTTTCAAGAGGCAACTGGAAAGTCCAGTTGCTTCTTGAAAAAGCACCTTTGAGACAGGAAGAATCTGGTAGCACCTTTTTCTGACTAGCAGGTTATATTGGAAGGCATAAGCTTTTGTGAGCTACAACTCACTTTATCAAACACTTCTGCTGTAAAAGTCTGTAGAGATTCTCAGTCATCCAGGTCATGGCTGTCCCAAAGGTGCTTTTTCAGGAGACAACTGGACTTTCTTGTTTTTCCTTTGAAGACATTTCACTTCTCATCCAAGAAGCTTCTTCGGCTCTGAGCAGGATAATGGGGAATGGAAGGATTGATATTCCTTGCAGATATCTGGTCATTTGCATCCTTTTAGAGGGTCGTTGAAGCACTTGCAGGCTTATGTGTGTCCTCAGGGTCACCTGAGTAGTGCTCCTGGTTCCGGTAATCTGCAGTTTTTCTGTGGAAATCCAGAGAAAGGATTTTTTCTCTGAAAATTGTGCTGTAGCTCAAGAAAGTTCATGCAGCTTAATGATATTTGTTAATAGGAGAAGATGCTACCAGACTCCTCCTGATTTTTTCCAGAGTTAGACTTGTCTGTTTTTAGGAAGTGATAGCAATTGCTCACTTGATTATGAATCAAAGTAATGTATGAAATTTTATAACATTTTATAGCAACATCATATCAAACCCATTCCGGTATAGTATTTTTTTCAAATTTAACATTTTTATTGAGTTATAAAATATTGTATAGAATTTAAAAAAAACTAAACTGCTCTTGACATTTCTGTTTGTTTTTTCAGTATGTGACTTAAGAAGTAGCACATTGCCTTGCTCTTCCTCTTTAAGTCAATCTATGTTTGATCTTACAAGCCCACCCCACCGATTTATTCAGGTAAATAAGTGTTATTTAGTTTTATTAATAATTGTAAATGATTGATTACAGGTGCTCTTTGACCTATCCCCACCAATGAAACTGGAATTTCAGTTTGCTGAATGATGTGGCCGTTAAGTGAATCATCATGTGACTGGATCCAATTTTGTGACCACTTTTACTGCAACCATTAAGCAAATCATGTGGTTGTTAGGCGAATCACTTGTTTTTAAACAAATCTATCTTCCCCAATTGACTTTGCTTCTCGAAAGCCGGCTAGAAAGGTCACAAATCACGATAGCATAACTAAGATACTGCAACTGTCATAAATACAAGCCAGTTGCAAAGTGCCTGAATTGCAATCATATGACTGCAGGGGTAGTGCAATGGTTGTAACCTTGAAGACAAGTTGTGAGTCACTTTTTCTGAGTCTGTCATAAATGAATTGTTGTTAAACAATCAGTCATAAGTTGAGAACTACCTGTAATTCCTTAATATATTTCAATCTCACAGCTAGGTCTGTATTTCCTTGTTCTTGTTTTGTTTTTTATTAACTAATCAGGCTTTCTTTTTTCCTAGAAGAGATATGATTCCGCCTCCAGTACACTAAGCAGCATCTCCTCCAGAAAGAATTCACAAGGTAGTAACAGGAGTTTAGGTAATGAGCACTATTTTCTTGTCTGTCTTCTGGTAGAAATCTGGCAAACTGGCCTCATATGATGAGAGGGGTCTGTGAAGTCCAGAAATACCTGGTACAAGCAGGCTATAGATGTAGGCCAATGTAGGTCCTACATTATGTTTTTATAAAATCAAAATATATTTTGACTTAGAAGTTCCAGAATTTCTGTTATACTTCTTTTTCTAGTTTTGTTAGAAGTGGAAGTTACACTGGTATCTTAATGACAGTTAAAAATAGACTTCACCAGAAGAAAAATATAGGTTGGAATAGCCTTAAGCCTTAACCTAAGTTGATTGAACCCAACAAATATAAGACCTAGTTAAAATATGTTGCATTACTTCCTAGACTACAATATTTGATATAATAAATAGAAGCATATGGTACACATTTTTAATACTCTGTATTAAAAAAAGAAAGAAACTCTCTCCCTTTAATGAAAAGCTAATATATCCAGAGTAGAAAAATTTCATAAAAGTGGTTTGCTGATCTCCTTATTCTCCACATAGAAACTTCTTTACCTATGCAAACTCAAATATGTAACTACAATATGAATTGGTACAAATGTGGAATGGCTTAACCATATAATCCTTTCAAAAGCCAATGCTTTAGTGTGTGTGGGGGAAATCATTGGAAATTCTGAATGGGTAGGGCATGGATGTCAAACTTGTGGTGTCACATTGCCATCACGTGACATTTCACGACATTTTTTCCATTCGTGGAGCTGGGGTGGACTTGGCCTGCATGGGACACATCTGGCCCACAGGCTGCCAGTTTGACACTCCTGGGCTGGGGAAAATGCGGGCCAAGGACTGGGAAAATCCACTGAAGCAAAAAAAAAACCTCTGTCTATAGGAAATAGGCAAATATTGAGGTTACCACGTAGAAAATAAAAGGATTAAGAGAATGAAATGCCATGTCAAGTTGAAGCTCATAAAATCACTGCTCCAAAGCTGACAGCAAGGAAGAAAACATTTTATTAGTGTAAAGAAATATTCCTCAGACTGCACTGGAGTGAACTTCATTGAACGTGTTTTTGATGCAGTGCATCCTATCTTAAGTCATCCTTGCTCAGAATTCTGGGAATTACAATCCTACTGCATCTGAAAAATGGCAGGTTGGCGAAGATTGCTGTAGACTTAAAAAAGTACTTTCAGAAACCTAGCATGGTACATTGTTTTAGATTCATTTGCCTGTTCCTGTTCCTGTTCCTTTTAGCATAAACTTTGCTTGACAGAATGATACAACACTGGTGAAAGGGTTAATCTGTCTGGTTCTGCCAGTGCAGGTGTATGCTGAAGAATGTTGGCAACCCACTATCTTGTTAATGTAGTTTTGAAAACACTTTTTATGATGCATTAAGGCAGGATTAACCATAAACAGCTGAAACACTGACAAATTTGATTTCTATCAAACACATGTATTTCCTTATACATAACAGCTGGCATATCCTGGCAGTAGGGAGAAATATTTTAGTAATGAGAACAGATTTTTTTTAAAAGTCTGACTTCACTGGATAAACTAATGTTTTTTCAGCCTTTGAGAACAAGTTCCAAAAGTGTTTTTGGATTTATCTCCAGATACAATTACATTATCAGGTGATGAAAGAGAATTTGGCAGGCTGAACGTGAAGGTGTGCTACCTTTTTCCTGTAGAACAGATATGGATCACCATCTTGAAAGTAAGTAATCCTAAAAAGCATTCAGTTACTGGTTCTTCGCATTTAAAAGTTTTTATTTTCCATTTTTCATTTTCATACACTCACATATATACTGTGCATAGCTGGCGCCATACAACATTAAACAATAATCGCAGCAATTCCTCTTGTCAACAATACCCNTTGCCTCCAGAAGTTGTGAATGCCCCAACACTGGAAGTCTTTAAGAAGATGTTGGATAGCCATTTGTCTGAAATGGTGTAGGGTTTCCTGCCTAGCCAGGGGGTTGGATTAGAAGGCCTCCAAGGTCCCTTCCAACTCTTCTATTGCATTGTATATGCTGTATTGATTTGGTTTGTTTCTAAATTCTATAGTGAATTGTAGGTTGTTAAAGTACATATTTTTTCTTACTGTTTTGGATTATTCTGTGACTTCTTGAAATCTGTCCTAACCCCCACTTGTTAACCTAAAATACATTTCATTTATGATGTCCAAGAAGGAAAATTCCTGTCTTCTACTGAGATTGGTTTTAGTTCTTTTTATTCTTTAAACATGCAGATCAAACTGGTTTTCTTTTTTAAAAAACCTGCTGTTTCTGTCAGATGATAGTTTTTATTCCAGCTGCATGACTTAATCTGGATTGGACAATAAAGCAAAGGTCTTGTTTCAGCCAGATATATTTCCCTTCTCATGACAATATGCTCTTTTGTTCATACTTCTGAACTTGCTAGCCTTATTAGTCCCTAGAGTCTGTTGAATGAAAGAACAGAATCTGCCTGCACCTCAAGGACTCCCAGAGCAGAGAGTTGTGCAAGCCAGACGTTTAGAGCACAATGCATTCCTGGAATTACAATCTAAAAAAAAGTCAAATGTTTTGTGTTACTGGAAATTTTAGCTCTGAAACATTTAAGCTATTCTTAAACATAGTTTTAACCACATAACAATGCTAGAATAATTGGCTCGCACATTAAATCTGCACTTATTGTTTTATGATTCAGAGTAGTGCTTCTCAAACTTGGCAGTTTTAAGATCCAACTCCCAGAATTGCCAAGCTAACCATTGTGATATATAGAGGATACTTGCAATTCCTTCTTTTTCTGAAATGCTCAATTCTAAGCATAACAAACTGGATCATGAAAGTGAATTGGGATGAATCTTGTAACCCCTTCGCCTCTTTAATGATAAGAAGAGAAATGAGAACAACCTTGAACAATTTCTAACCATCTAAAATAAGCCATGATCTAAAGTTAACTTTTATATATTAAGTTGCTTAAGTGATTAAGTATAATTTCCGCTTGGTATGAAACAAGATACCAAGGGTGCATCTGAAGAGCAAAGCAACTTACAAGCGTGCTTACTTGTTTGTGTTATTTAGGAACTGCCTAACACCACAAATCCCTTCTGGAGGTGCCCCTCAGATCTATTGCCAGGTTTAAAAATCTAACTGCATGGTTTAATGCCTTTCTGATGAAAGTAGTGAGGCTTTCAGGATTGATGCCAGCCCTTTGAAATAGGCCAAGTCAAGAGACTGGCACTGTAGGGATTCTAGGCATGCTGCTTTATTGGGGTGGGGGGGAGTAGAATAACAGAATCTTGAAAGTGTTTCACTTTGCCGTCTCTCTTATTTCTCTCTTTTAGCAGAAAGAAATCCTGAGGGAGTTATTTCAAATTTCTTCCTCATGCTTTCCATATTTTTTGGACTGAGTTGCTGTTTCACTTCCTTTAACAATTCACGCCTTCCTTGCCCAAAGCATCCCCACATTCCTTTACAGGGAGAGATGGTTACATTGCCTCTTACAAGCTTTCCACAAGGGCTCCCTGTGCACCTAAACAGAAACGTTTTGAGGACTTCACTTGGAAACAACCCTTGCATATCAAATTGAAGGTTCCTTAGTGCTCTCTGAGCTGGGGTGTTTTCTTGTAGATGTTTCATTACACAAACTAGGTAACATCATCAGTGTTTGCAAAGACTAGCACGATCAAGTTACCTAGTTTGGGTAATGAAACATCTTCAAGAAAATTAATCCAGATCAGAGAGCACTAAGGACCGCTCATTTCAACCCTGAGCTACAAATATTCTCCTTTATTGGTATTATTAAGTATCATTTTGTGATACTTGATGCATCTCTTGCTTCTCTCTACAGTAATGGCATTCTTTCCTTGTTTGTTTTCCCCAAATGTTTTTCTTTAATCCACAGAAGCAATTTATGAAAGTCCTAACTATATGTCTATCTTAAAACATCCATACTACTTTTAGACTGAGGCTCCTTCTTGTTCTTTCTGTACCACCCCAAGTTATTTCATGGTTGATAGTCTTTTTGGTAGCCATGGCATTGGTGTGTCAACCTGGTAAACTGTTTTCCTTATAAAAAGATCCTTTCTTTCTTTCTTTCTTTCTTTCTTTCTTTCTTTCTTTCTTTCTTTCTTTCTTTCTTTCTTTCTTTCTTTCTTTC